ACGCTCCCCCCTCTCATGTGCTCTCTCTCATTCTCTCTCTCTCAAATAAATAAATAAAATCTTTAAAAAATAAAAAATAAAAAAAATAATAAAGTGAGTCACTTCAGCCAGGCGACCTTGCTGCCCCTCATTTGCTTTTACCACCTGACATGACTTGTTTTTTGTTTCCTGCACAGTCCCCGAAGTCACCCCAGCTAACGTCAGTGGTGGTGGAGGCAGCAAATCTGAACTGGTTATAACCTGGGAGGTAAATGAATCATGGAACAAAAGGAACGTATGGTAGTCTAGGCTATTTTATTTTTTTCCTCTGTGTTGAACAACTCTGAGAAGTCATCTCCTGTGTTTTTAAGAGCTAAAATTCAGTGGCGTGCAAACACTCCCTCTCACCTAGCTGATGGGCAGCAGGAAAAGATGGTGCTTGCCCATCAATTGTTGAATTAAGTTTTAATTGGATTCATCACAGAAAAAACAATCATGAAATGGAAGACAACACAAGAAAAAATATATACGTATATATATCCGTGAAGGCTGGTTCAAAGAAAACCAGTTTTCCTTCCTTCCTGAATTGATGCATAGCCACTTGATTTAAAACCTCTGCCAGCAAAAGATTTGGTGTACCAGCACAATTTCCTGGCAATTGGCTTTGCTTCTGGAGCGAGCCCTCTTCTATGAGGTATTTTTAAAACAACTTGGAGGCAGGTTAGTTACCAATTTATTAAAAATTGATTTTGAGAGAGGAGATTGGAGTTTTATAAAGGGTTCTTAATGTTTTTGAAAGATTCTAGACAATAGTCCCCAAAGTTAAACTCTTTCATTTGACTAAAGCCCCAGCAGTAAAAGAAATTACTCACCCCCTCCAGCTCAACTCCTCAGTTCTGAGGGGGAAGATCTTGCCTGAGCCAAGATGAGATCTTCAATGAGATCTTTTGTCTGTTTGGCACTGGAGGAAGATTCATATTGGACGGAACATGTTGCATTGTTGGATCCTAGATCAACTATCCACTGAACTTCCTAGTCATTTCTAAGAACTTCAGAGCTAGGTCTCCCCCATCAAGAAGCTCGGCTCTCCTCTGCAGGTTCTCACTGGGGTTTGTTTTTTTGGTTTAACCCTACTTCAACACCTCATCCACAGCTAAGGTAGGCTGATGGCAAGCCCCACACCTAAGTCTCTTGACAAAATCCAAAGTAAGATAGGTGGGCAAGAAGGTATATAAGAATGTTGGAAGGTAGGGTGAAATAAAACAACTTTAGCGTTTGAATCGAACTGCTGTGCTTTCTGAAGACTACCTCCCTTCTTTCCCAGACGGTCCCCGAGGAATTGCAGAATGGCAGAGGCTTTGGCTATGTGGTGGCCTTCCGGCCCTATGGCAAAATGATCTGGATGTTGACAGTGCTGGCATCAGCCGATGCCTCCAGATACGTGTTCAAGAACGAGAGCGTGCGCCCCTTCTCTCCCTTTGAGGTTAAAGTGGGCGTCTTCAACAATAAGGGAGAAGGCCCTTTCAGTCCCACCACAGTAGTATATTCTGCAGAAGAAGGTATGATTTATGCTGCCTCTATATGTGATATTTGTTCACTTCTGAGATGGTGTTGATTTTAGGACTGAGCTGTCCACCAGCTCTCCTGGATCTTAGTCAAGTCAGTTGGCTTTCCTTCGTTCTTATGCTCTTATTTTCATAATCCAATGACAAGGACTCTCACCTGTGGCAAATGCTAATTAAGAAGGATATGTGTTAAAGGAATTGCTAGCTATGAAAACTTGATGCTTAAATTTAAGCAGTCCTGGGTTACTTCCGTTCCACCTACCCCCAAATTTAGAAGCCAAAGGCTTTGTCTTTACCATCTAAAGCACCACTCCCTTCCAGCTATTAATCATGGCTCCTCTATGAAATGATGGTTAGGGTCATAATCACTAAGGGCTGTTATACAGCCATGAGTTATTTATTCTTTATAATGCCAGTATCTAGAAGCCTATCCTGATGAGGCTGATAGAGTAATTACTTTTTCCACACTTATCTGTAGAACCCACCAAACCACCAGCCAGCATCTTCGCCAGAAGTCTGTCTGCCACAGACATTGAAGTTTTCTGGGCCTCCCCCATGGAGAAGAATAGAGGACGGATACAAGGCTATGAGGTAAGCAAGAGATATGTACATTGGGTCTGGGAAAGATCTACCCTTCACTGACACCTTCAAGACACTTTCTATTGAGAAAAAGACTCAGATTCCCATTTAGAGGAATTTGTTTCAGAGAACAATCTCTTCTAGTAGACATTAGTTGAAGCATTAACATTCCGCTATGAGATTACCCTTTCTCTGGTATACTTGAGAAATCTTTTCCAAAATACTTGTGGGTCTAAGCATTTATAAGAGGGTTGGCGAAATGAGCTTTGACTTTTGACACATGCAGTATCACTTGGGCTCAAAATAAATATGGGGGACAAGTGAGAAATAGCCAACAATGGTTGTGCCCATTTTCCATCTCGCTATGAAGCTAAGAACAAAAACAGGGGCCCTTCCTATTGCAGATAAATTCTCAGAGCATACCAAGCCCTTGGCTCTGAAAGTTCTGCTTATGAGTTGGTATAAAAAATTAATTCCATCATAAGAATCTGCATTTTTTTAAAAAATCAGCTGATGGCATTGGAAATATCCCCAAAAGGTATTTCCAAGGTCTTCCCTTTATTTTCTCAGGTTAAATACTGGAGACATGATGACAAGGAAGAAAATGCTAGAAAAATACGAACAATTGGAAATCAGACATCAACAAAAATCACCAATTTGAAAGGCAGTGCGCTGTATCATTTAGCTGTCAAGGCATATAATACTGCGGGGACAGGCCCGTCCAGTGCAACGGTCAATGTGACAACCAGAAAGCCACGTAAGAACATCTTTGCTCAGAAATATTTTAGGGATTCATCAGACATATCCCCAGTTCATTCCCCATCCCCACCTCCCAATGATCATTTGCATACTAATTGGTATCATTATGTGGATTCAAATTTACCTTAGCATTTTAACTAAACCTTTCCGAATACCATGCAAAATTCATTGCTCCAGAGGACAGAAAGATAAATGTTTTTTTCCTCACTGGGAAGGGCTACTTCTTTTAGATATAAATGTTAGGCGACCAACTGAATCTTTTTCCATTTGCAATGCTGTATCTCGTCAGATTTTAGGGACCTTGAAGACACATATTAGTGCAATAGCCCATTAAATTGCCTCCACTCTTGAATTCTAGTAAGGAGATATTCCTCAGAATCCATTGAGATTTAATAATCTGTGACTTCGTATATCTTAATTTTTTTATAGCACCAAGTCAACCCCCCGGAAACATCATATGGAATTCATCGGACTCCAAAATTATCCTGAATTGGGATCAAGTGAAGGCCCTAGATAATGAGTCGGAAGTAAAAGGATACAAAGTGGGTAATTTCTTTTTTGCAGAGGCCCCTAATCCTGATGTTAATAAGAACAGTCTCTTCTCAGGAAATCATATGAACTATGTTCTCACTTTCCCTGATGATGTCCCACAGCCCCTCTAGGCATCTCTGTCCCCAGAGTGATTTGCTCTGAGTTTTATAAATGGTCCATGGCAACAAGCCAACTGTAGAAAATTGCCTAAACTTTAGAATCAGACAGTCAATCAGAAATGGTTGAAGACCCTGTGGTTGTGTCTTCAAAAACTCATGAAGACCCACACGTGTAACATCTCTCCTGTCAGCTTTGTTTTGTGCTTTTCCTGATTGTCTTTTTTTTTAATCAACACTATCATGAATGGTTAAACATTTTTGTTCATGTTCCTAGAGTTAGAAAGATTTATATAGAGAAAAGGAAGCAAGGAATTTGTAGAAGATTCACTGGCCTATTCCCAGAGTGTTAACCTGACTTTAAAGAGCTAGAAAAGAAAATGTGAACAGCCTTGGTGCCACAATTAAAAGCAGTTGGTATTATCTTGCTTTTGTTTTACTTTTAAGCAACATTCGAGACAGTGCAATGCAGGCCAAACAAAAGCAGTCTGTAGGCTCTGTTTTGTGGCATTTTTGCACACAGATGTTGAGCTTAATAGATAGGCGGTTTAACTAGTTTAACTGGTCAGGAACTAGTTAAAGAGCATGGGAAAGTAGTTGATAAAACCAGAGCTGGAATTAGGAGTTGGTGTAGTTGGTGGTAGAACCTTGGGTATTATGATTAGAGAGAGATTCGGGAAAACGCTCCCTGTCATGGATTCCTTTTCTTTCATTTACATGGCACGGTGATTTGTATTGGACCAACAGAGAAACATTCCTGAAAAACTAATCTCCAGATCTTTTACTGGGTCCTTTTTTAAGAGCCCAGGGTCTTCTAGCATATAGCATAAAGAAATAGGAGACCCACATATTGGTCCTCTATTGACTATGTGACTGACAAGTAAATCACTTAACCTCTTGGGACTGCATTTTCTCTTTTATTAAAGGAGAAATTTTCTAGTATCTTCATAGTTCTCTGAACTTTTGCTCAGACATATCAGTTGGGCCATGAAAAAGGAAGAAAGATAGACAGCTTTCTGGGAAAAAGATGTTCCAAGCACAGTGAATGGCATGTGCAAAGGTCCTGAGGTGGGCACATGCCAATGTGAAACAACAGGAAGCATGGGAGACTGTGATGAATTAGAGATTTTCTCATTGTCCAGAAGGAGCCATGGCTTCTGAGCTCTTGCATATTGTTGCCCAACAGTGTGGACATATCTTCCAGTTTTTTCAGCAAAACCCAACATTCTTTTCATGTATAACTTTTTGGACAGTTTTAAGTGTTGACATCTAACTCAAAATAAAATAAACACTACAAGAGCCAAACAGTTAAAATATGCAGGCCAGATGTGACCCATGGGCTATCTGTTTTCTACCATCTAACCTCCTTGTTTTGCATTCGTGAAGACAGACACCGGAGAGGGGAAACAATTTTCCCACACAGATGGTGGCCAAACTAGGCTGAGTTAAGAATATAGGCTGTTGACCCAGACTGCCTGGGTTTGAATGTTAAATATACCCTTTACTGTTCATGGTACTCTGGGCAAATTGCATAATATCTTCACGTCTCAGCGTCCTCATCTTTGAAATCAGAATGGTAAGAGTGCCTAACTCAAGAGGTGATGGTCTTAGTACTTAGAACAAATAGTGTTCACTGGCCTCATTGAAGATGTCAGGCAGATTCCTCCAAAGCCACAATGCAGCTCCCCAGGGTCAAAGAGCCCAGGCATCCCATAACATGGTAGAAGGTGGTGACAGAGCGCTCGTTGCTTGTGAGGAGGACATCTCCAGGAGCCGAGTCTATGTCTGTGTCGGTGAAGTGGGGAGAGGTTCCCTGCCAGGTTCTATAGATAGTGTTTTGAATCGAAGCACAGGTCAAAATAACACAAATTAGGTGCTCTGCTACCAATCACTGCCTCATCTTTCTCCCTGGTGTGGTGGTCTCGAAAGCCAGATCACTGTGATGGTTGTAGCCAAAGAGTGGGAACAGCCATAGAACATACACACCTAAATGTTGTTTGTTGTAGTATACAAGGACATCCAATGAAGGACAAGGAGCAGAGAAAGTGCAGTTTGAGGGAAAGTAGCTGAGAGCCCTATTGTTAACCTTGATGACGGGAATGTCTCAGTGATTTAAAATATCCAGGGACCATAGCTGTTCTGTAAGAACAGAAGCACAGAACTGTGCACTAAGGACCATCCCCAAAGGGTCACTGAAGTCCAAGGAAATCACACCTTTGGGAGGCTGTGACTTCACTTTCTTTTTGGGTACTGATGGTCTGGACACTTCATATATTGATCTACATCTGGTGAGAAAATCAGAGATCCAATGGCTCCATTTCAGCAACTCTTACTGATTCCCAAGGCAAAACTTGTCATCTTTGATAACTTAGGACAAATCTCCACTTTGATGTTTCACCCAGACATTGAAAAATGGACTACAACTGAAGTAATTTCAGGTTGCTGACACTGTCTAATGTGGTAAGAACAAAAATTAAACTTCTCTTTTCATTAAAAAAAAAAAGAACATACGATGTTCAAACACAAAGTAAGCATTGAATCATGTTTGCTACTGTTATCATTACTCCCATGAATCCACTCTTTCCCCCCTGTCTTCCACCCTGGATTATATGAAATGCAAGCACAGCCTTCAAATCAGTCAGCTGAACCGAGTGTTTGGTGTAAATAAAGGTTTTACAGGCTTTTATTTAGGTTCCAATGCAGTCCCTAATATTACAAGACTGATAAGCCGTGCTGATAACAGGGCTGTTTTTTCCTGGAAATGTTTCTTTTGGATTTATATTTGAAACTGGTTAAATTCTCTGTGCTTTGGCAAGGACCAGAGGTAAATCAAAGAAGCAATTTATTCCTCAAAGCCAGATGTGCCCTTGCATCCCATCAGCCAGCCCATGTTCCTGAAGGGCCGTGATGAGACGCTTTGACACTCCTGAATGTGCCTGAGGATTTATTTGAGCCTGATCATTAACAAGGGGACGCCGAGCTGGATACAACTGATGCTCCGGAGAAGGAAGGGGGGTGCTTATGAATCTTTCCACCTTAAGGAAATTGTGTTTTCCACCTTGTATTAGAGAGATATAAATTAAGGTGATGAAATGCCAGGGAACAAATGGGATCTATACCATTTTAAGGGAATTTTTTGAATTTTATGTGTGTTTGGTTTTTATTGCAATAGTGGAGTGGCCTTATGTCTCTAACTTCAGCAGATCAGAATTTTGAAATGTGAGCTAATCTTAAGGGTCTCAAAGTGCTGTTCCTGGACCAGAGGCCATGGCATTATCTGAGAACTTGTTAAAAATGGAGATTTTCAGGTGCAACCTCAGACCCACTAAGTCAGAAACTCCAGGGTGGGGTCCAGTGATCTGTGTTTGAACAAGCCCTTCAGGCAATTCTGATACACAGGTTAGATCCTTGATCTAATCCAGGATTTCCAGCCACATTAATATCACGTCAACTCTTTTTTTAAGTATCGCAGCCTCAGCCTCACCTCCGTGGAGTCTAACTCTGGAGTGGGGCCATAGCAGGCTTTCTGAGCCTCTTCACTTTGGCCAGTTTGGGCTGGAGAACTCTCAGTGAAGGGAATGTCCTCTGCATTGTAGGATGTTTTGCAGCATCCCTGGCCCCCCACCCAGTAAACAGTAGCACCTGTTGTGACAACCAAAAATGTTTGCAGACATTGCCAAATGCCCCCCCGCCCTGGGAGAGGAGCAAAATTGCCCCTCCAGCCCCACAACGCTCCACCCGCCTTGAGAAGCACTGGGCTAGGGTGTCAGTATTTTTTTTTACACGTTCCCCATGTTCTCCTGCCACACAGCCAGGACAGAGAACACTGATCACCCACCCCTCTGTTTCTCACTACCAGGAGAAACTGGCAGTATTGGAGGATCATGATTCAGGAGTAGGGGTTTAGGAGTTCTCACCTTGCCACTTACCAGCTCTGTGACCTCATCCAGCTTCTGTTTTCTGATCTGTGGCAAGGAATAATAATGCTTGTGTTGACCAATTGTTGTGACAGTTCAACATGACGATATCATTAAGGTGCCTAGGTCACAGTCAACATCAGAAAGTGTTTGTGGGACAGTTATCATCACAGTTGTTATATCCAAAAGGGAAGATGCGCTTGTCCAGGCTTTTAGATTTTGTTTCTGGTTGGAGTTGGTGGCAATCAGAGTAGGCAATTCCTGGCAGGGGGATGTGTTTTCAGGAGACCTAGTTGGGAACCTCATCAAATGATCCACCAACCCAGACTCCCATCCAGGGGAGGCCAAGAAGGGAAACACGAGTGGGACTATTGAAGCTATAGACAATTCTGGAGTGACAGTGATCACCACAGAATATCCCCTATTTTCTACGTAGCTCAGAAAGGGGTCGCCAGGGGGAGAAAAGGGGGTTTCTGCCCTTGCCTTGCCTTTCGGAGATCATCTCCCTGGGCTGAAATGTGCTTTCTCCAGAGGATTCATTCATATTGTATGAATAATCTCCAGATTATTCATACAATAATAATAATGTATGATGCCTGCCTTGTGCTTCTCACCTTTGCCAACGATGTTTGTTTATCTCTCATTCCCTTTAAGCTGTCGTAAACATGCTTCCTTTGAGCCAAGTCCTTCACTTATACACAATCCTTATGCACTCTTGAAAGCACCCCAGAAAGGTGGGTGTCATCGTTTCCTCATCCACAGATGAGGAAAATGAAGCTCAGGTTGTAAAGAGGACTATAGTCCCACAGTGGCCAAGTTGATTCTGATGCCAAAGCCCCTCATGTGTAACTGAGCTCTGTATGCCCTCCAAGAGGAATTTGTCTTCCAGGTGTGTTACCTGTGCCTTCCAGAGGTTATGTGAGGCCACATGGCGCATTGGTTGACTGCTGTTACCCCTGTCCCCATGCTGCAGTGTCCTCATAAGGAAACAGTGGGTGCGGATGTGCCCCTTACTATAAATGAGTCTCCCCAGTGTGTGTGGGCAGCCTGACAGCCTCAGCGTCCCCACATTTTGCTGGTGCCCAGATGAATGCTCCATCTTTGGGGTCTTTATGAGGACAGCAGGTGACACCTGTTCTTTCTGTATTGGCAGGTCTTGTACAGATGGAACAGACAAAGCAGCACATCTGTCATTGAGACAAATAAAACATCAGTGGAGCTTTCTTTGCCTTTTGATGAAGATTATATAATAGAAATTAAGCCATTCAGTGATGGAGGAGACGGCAGCAGCAGTGAACAAATTCGAATTCCAAAGATATCAAGTAAGAGTGTCTTTTTCCTCCCCTCCCCCTACCTGCTGGATCTCCTAAGTCTTCCCAGTGAGTCCAGGTTTAGACAAAGTGAAGCCCACAAAGAAAGGCTTCTACAAAAATGGGCAGTACTGTTCCCTTTCATCAGACAACTGATGTTCGCTCATCACGGGCAGCTTCAATAAAAAAAAATATGACTAGTTTTGACTGATTTAATCAGTTGCCAATCAAAAATCAGATTAAAGCAGCCCCAGATCTGTCACACAGGTTTTCCCATGTGGACATGTGTGGTTTGCATCTACAGTAACTGTAAAATTATAGCTCAGAAAGTTAAAAGCATGACTCAAGTCAGAAGAAAACAAAGCGTTCTTTAAAATGCTGTAGCGATTTGTCTTTAGCAAAACAATGTAACTCTATGTCTGTGGCTGAAAATATTTTGAACTTGACACTATTAATTTTGAATGTGTGTATGTAACATGTTATTAAATACACATGTCTATATATAGTCAAGATGATCTTTATTTACAAAGACAACAGTGTGAGAATATTCTTTTTTGAGCAAATATATTCAATCTTGTTTTTGAAATACTATGTTTGCAACTATCTCAGCAGAGTATTATTTTTTATTACATGGTTTCATTTATTTAAAAAAAAAAAAAAAAAACAGAAAAGGCAAATCCGTAGAGACAGAAATCAGATTAGTGACTGGTAGTGTCTGGCCAGTGGTATGAATTGCAGCATAATGGGTACTGGGTTTCCATTTCGGGTGATGAAAAAATTCTGGACTAGATAGTGGTGCTGGTTGAACAACGTTGGAGTATACCTCATGCCACTGAATCCTACACTTTCAAGTAGTTAAAATAGTAACTTTTATGTTACATGTATTTTACCACAATAAAAAAAAAAAAAAAAAAAGATTGCAGCCAGATACTTAAGTGTAGATTTTCATTGGCCTTTGCGTTTAACTGTCTCAAGATAAGGGGCTGGAGACAGAAATTTTCAAGCCATCAGTGAAGACATGATATTTTAAATCATGGGCACACCATCCTGAGTTTCAGACACTCTGCTTAGTGTCCATCACATTATTTTTCAGATGAGGAAAGGGTCTAGTATGTCTTGCTGATATCAAGTTATAGTAAAGCATCCACTAAGCAATTTTAAACTGCATCTGTAAAATGTGGATGCTTCTGACCAGAAAAGGAAATGTTCATTGGTCATTTCACCCTCTCCCTGAGTAAGAATTTGCTAACATTGACAAATAGAACAAGACCTCCTGGGGACAGAGGCTGCAGCAAGCCATGCTCCCAGCTCAGGGGTAATTTGCCAATTTCCAAGTGGAGTTTATATTTACTGCACCTTTTTTTTCACACAAACACTGAAGGCATTTTTGTCTTTTATTTATTTATTTTTTTAGAGGTAGGGGAGGGCAGAAGCAGAAGTAGAGAGAATCTTTTTTTTTTATTTTTTATTGTTATTTTAATCACCATACATTACATCATTAGTTTTTGATGTGGTAGAGAGAGAATCTTAAGCAGGCTCCACGCCCACTGCAGAACTTAACACGGGGCTCAGGGCTCCATCTCACAACCCTGAGATCATGATCTGAGCTGAAATCAAGAGTCCGTTGCTTAACTGACTGAGCCTCCCAGGTGCCCCAGAGTTTTTGTCTTTTAAAAAACTGGGGAGAATTGGATTCTATACTTCACTAAGGCAAGGGCTCTAAATTCTGTTGAAAGAAACCAGAGATGTGGAAGTAATCACCAAGCCACAAAAACACAAGATTGGGGTTTGTTTGGGGGTTAATTTATCTCACTCTGTTGAAATCTGACTTCATACTTTCTTATCATTGTAAGGATTGTTTGGTTTTTTTTAGATTGGTGATTCTTGGTTTAATTCATTATAAAAACAAATCTTAAGCAATTATATTGGTATAATTAATTGATATTAAATGATAAGCATGTAATTGTGAAAAAAAAACCATGTTCTCTCCCTCAAAAGATTGCCCATTTTGTTGGTCAGAGATCTTAAAATCTTGGAGAAACCTCAAACGACAGTTGGTAATCTGTTACTATGAAAAATGTAAGACCTCTAAGAAAAGGTTTTATTTAAAAATATTGAGATTATTTTGTTGGGGGAAAAGGGACATATTTAGGCAGACATGGGTTTGAATCCCAATTCAGCTATTTACTAACTGGTTGATCTTAGACAAGTTATCTTACTTCTCTGGGCCCTAATTTCCTCATCTGTTTAATAATGTAATAACAATACCAGATGTGCTTACAGTTTTTGTAAGAATCAAGTGTCCCGTGGCTCTATGCCCAACACAAAGGTAGAGTTAAAAAGGGAACAGCAACTTATATTTTGCTGCATCATCGATATAATACTTATTAGTAGCTATTAGTAATATTGAAGTTTCTTCTCAAATTAGATGTAGAATCCTCATTTTGCAGATGCATCAACGGAGGTCCAGAGACGTCCCATAACCTACTCTTAGGTTCCTGGCTCGGTAGTCATAGAACTGATATTAAAAAGTCATTAGGGGGCGCCTGGGTGGCTCAGTTGGTTAAGCGACTGCCTTCGGCTCAGGTCATGATCCTGGAGTCCCGGGATCGAGTCCCACATCAGGCTCCCTGCTCAGCAGGGGGTCTGCTTCTCCCTCTGACCCTCCTCCCTCTCATGTGCTCTCTCTCATTCTCTCTCTCTCAAATAAATAAAT